ATCAATACCAAACTTGGTATGCCATATCATGACTGCATGAAGAACATACTTGACTAGTAATAACATGACTGTATGAAGAACATATTTGACTAGTCATAACAAGGCTGTATGAAGAACATGTTTGACTAGTTATAACATTAAAATCATGACATGGATGTGATGAATGTCATGATTTACATTTTATGGTCCTGCAGCTCTTGCGGTGGTTTTGTTCATATGGCATTTTCAAAAACTGGTATGGTATGACATGATTGCATGGTGAACATAAGCGACAGACCCTAACATGAAAATCATGACATGTGTGTTATGTAACAACATGACTACATGCCAAGCTCATGATGCGCTCGCGGCCGTTTCGCTAGCGTAACATATACGAAATTTCGTATTACAGTACGTGAATAGATGACGAAGGTATGTGACTGGTGCATACTTATGAGATGTGTGTCATGTATCAACACGACTACCTGCCACGCTTATGATGGACTGAAGGCCGTGTCGCTAGCTTCATTTATACCTAATTTGGTATTACGAGACATGAATGGAATGCGAAGGCATGATACTGGGGCAAACATGAAAAACGGGAGATTCTCGTCATGTAACAACATGTCTACATGTCACACTCATGATGCGCTCGCGGCTGTTTTGCTAGCTTTACATGTGCTAAATTTGGTATTACGTGACGTCAATGAATGACGAAGGTATGTGACTGGTGCAAAAATGATAATCATGAGATGCGTGTTATGTGAGAACACGACTACATGCCACAGTCAAGGCGCCAATACATTTCGATGTGACGCGGTGCGCGTGCTCACCGGCGTTCATTAAATCGGGTCCCTCCGGCGTCGCCACGCGCTTAGCGTTTGCTTATATACGACTATGTTCATTCACACTTGAACAGACCTAGGAATGGCGGCTTTAACTCAATATAATAATAATAACAACAACAACAATAAAAATAATAATATTATGTAATGTGTTACATGTAACGTTCCAAAACCACCATATAATTATGAGAGACGACCTAGTGGAGAGCTCCGGAAATTTCCACCACCTGGGGTTCCTTAGCGTGCACCCAATTGTGAACACACGGGTCTACAGCAGTTTCGCCTTTATCGAGACTGCAGCCGCGGCAGCCGGCATTCCATCCCATGACCTGCGGGTACGCAGGCGAGCGCCATAGCCACTAGATGAGACGCTTTTTCTATCACGCCTCTTCATCTGAATATGCTTTGTCGGTTAACACATATAGATATCACAATGGTTTGTTTATTAAATTCGCCATGGGGCTGAGTCGTCGCGACTAAAATGTACCAAACGTCAACGAGAGTACCTTGACGTTGAAAGGTGCTATAGCTGCCAAACACTAGCAGATACATTCGGCAAACCCTCCTTTATCAACGTACAGTCAACATTCAACTACCTCTGTGAAGGCACGTTTTACTTTCATGCTATACCAATTCCTATGGTGGAGGGATGAACCAAGTTTCTCTTTTTTCAATGAGTGAGTGCTGTTTTATTTTTTCATAATAAGATCACTATTTTTCGCGTATATGGAGGATTGTGTATTTTCATTTGCCTTGCTTGCTTAAATCCAAACAGTGTTTCTGGTGCATGTAATTATTAACTTTTTCTATTAGAATATCACACTTATTCTCTAGTTCTCAATCGTTTCTTTTAAAAAAAGTACAATTTTTGTTGGTAAGGGCGTAGTACTTCGTTTACCATTATCGTACTTGTATAAACATTTCATAAAGGGACCCCAGGCACCTGCATGAGTACGCCAATACAAACGGCGTAAACAATGTTTTCCTCTGAAATAAAAAAAGTTTATGGGACTATAACGTTAAACTATTCCTCATTACTTCCCTTCGAAATGATAAGTAGCTATGTGTAATTGGTCTGAACATTCCGAGTCATGCACAGAGCACCAGCTCGAGCACTTATGCACGACCACGTAAATGACAGGAGAATCAACTATTTTCACTCCAGCATATTGTTTGTGTGCCATAAAACCACCTGCTTGTCACATGCCGTCACAAATACGTTAAATGTCGTGGGGGTTTTTACAGCACATGCACATTAAACAGCACATTCACGTGCGGAACAATGCCTTATACTTTTTGGAATAGCGCGGAGAGCATCTCCTAAATGTTCGTCAAGTAGGCTAGCTGCCGATCACATTCGCAGCGGCTGCTTATAGCAGCTGGCGAGATGCATTGATATGAGCATAATAAAATAACTTCACTTGCAGCATAACTATGATTAAGAGTTTGTGCGCGTATACATCTCTGTGAGCTCATCATTCTTGAGAAAGAGAGACGGAGAAATAGAGAAATAAGCAGTGCTGTGCGTGTGTGCTTCCTTGCTGTCCAATTTCTATTTTGAGCTGTAAGCGAGAAGTCAAGTTGAATGAAACGAACTTGTCCGACTCATAATTAAGTCTCTATAGCGCTAAAAACCTTGTTTTTTCACCTTCTCTCTGGTCCAGTGGGCCAAGTTGCGGGCTGCGTTAAAAGCTGAGTTCTCCACGTACTGTGCTCGAGTCCACTGCTCTTTGCAAGATGCTACCATGGCTGCAAATCACCATGCGCAAGGTGTATCAGGTTGATCGGAGACTGCGGAATAACTGAAAGATTTAAAAATATTCGTCACAATCATCGTCTCACAGCAGCTCCGACAGAGTAGCGATGATGCTATTCATTATAGATTAAAGAAAATTTTTTTATGAAGCAGCAAATGCCTGAACCGGTTAAGAAGTTTGCTTGTTCGCATCTATAACTGCATCAGCCACTCACAGCATAATAAATGAATGAACAAATGATGTATTAATATAGGGCTCCTATTCAGTGCTAGCCTGCTCTGCAATGCAACAGCACAAGACGCGAAAGCGTCGCATAGGTGGTCCGCACCGCAAATAGCCTAAAAGGAAAATTGTCATGGAAGAAATGTTGAAATCATTTCGCTATAATAGAAAATTTTCTATTAAAACATTTTCATTTCCTGGTAACAATAATTGAGTGATAACTGTGGTGCAGAAGAACTTCGCCTTAGTGGCTGGTTTCCGCAGCATGCAGCCGACAGTGCCCCCCCCCCCCCCCCTAGATCGATTTACGGGATACAATGAACAAACCAAGGCATTCTACATGACTCGCCGATGCTATCCTCTGCCTCATGACAATTCATGCAAAGCCCAAGCAGTTACCTGGGGACCGATGCAAACGAGCACTCACCCCAGTCTACTGATATGTCACCGAATATGCCCCGAGATACGTAGCACCAGCATATGTAAGGTCTGCCAGACAGACACAGCTACGCTAACACACATGTTCTGAGAATGTGAGGCTAAAGCGGAGCTTATTATTCCCGATGTTCTTTCGGCGAGGTGGAAAGCTGCGCTGCGGAGCTCCAAGCTCGCCGACCAACTCTGGGCAGTCCAGTGGGCTTGTGAAGCGCTGCAGAAGCAAGGCCTGACGTCCCGACAAGAGAGACCTGAGGCCAGGCCACTAATTTGCCGGACAATAAATAAAGTTTTTCCATCACCACCCCTCCCTAACTTTTCTCGGTAGAGGGCTCCCGCCTTTTTGCCTCCCCCTCCCCCTTCCCTGTTAATACGCCAATGCGGGCTGAATAGGCGGTTCCCAAAATTAGACGAAGCCATCCTTGCGGGGCTGTATGAATGCATTAATTCGTGGAGAAGCTTTAAGAGCACTTACGTCCACGATGGTAACCGTGGCATAAGATAATAGAGAAATGTGAAATATGGGTAGCGCAGCCGCTGCCGTACCCCACTTGTACATATTTCTCCATCAAAGCATGAATAATATTTGGTTGGACGTGTATTTTTCCGCCTTACAAAATCTTCGACACATGTTACTTCCTTGCCGTACTTGATTGATTACGGCTTGTCAGTTTAGTTCAGAAATATGTAGTCGAACGTCACAGAAACTTTATACTGTTTAGGGATATCTTTACACGATTTTGCGTTAAGAAACATCATTAAAGGCGAGGCAGGGAAGCCCCGTCGTGATGTTCACCCCTTACATTGCTGTATGTCGGCATCAAATTACATGGCGTGCATGCAGGTCCAATGCGGAAGTTGTCGGATTGTATGATGTGTATACAGGCTATCGTGGATTATCGCTGTCTTTGATATCTCCTAGGATAGAGAGAGGGAAAATATGTCGTGATGGAAATATGTGCGACACTCGATATATAAAACAGGCACTTTAAGCGTGCACACTCAGTATCAACAGATATAGCCTGACACTTCTTTAATGTACATGTATGGTGATAATACAATAGTGGAAAACTATAGTTCATCGTATATTGAACATCTTGACGGCACAGGATGACCCGGTTCCCGAAGCAGGATCATTCTCACCAATTTTCACTCTTAGTATGACTAGCTAGAACAATGAAGGAAATAGGGAACATAAAAAACATATAAGGGTTATCTGTGATTGACAGACTCTCAGAACCACGTCCGTAGCTGCATTATACAAACAAATAACAACGTAGCATCGCTATCAGAAACGAGATCTAGATAGCCTGACTGAAAATAAGAATATATATGCACTGTCTACCAGGTCATTCCCGCAATTCAGGAGGCATACAAATTGTTTGGCATTAAATTAAGATAAACGGCAAGGTAAAGAAACTATCGATAGAGATAAGCTTTGCTGTACCTCTACAATTGGGGTCTGGCTTAACAGTAGTACCAATAAGCCGCTATGACGGTCTAGTGGCTGTGACCCTGAATACGGAAGCCCTGCACTAAATAGTACCGCGCAATTATGTTGTGGATTGGAGACTCTAATAATGCATAGTTATTAGCAGCATTACCAACAAGACTAGCATATTGATAAACTAATATTCTGAGCATGGAAAAGGTGGACACAACAATGCACAGAATAAGCTCAAGAGACGCGGAATGGTGTTACAAGAGCGTTACAAGAGAGGTGGTGTTCTTCGTAGTGATGAAGTGCTCATGTTTTTTTCAGATGAGCCGCATCGACTCACCATGGGTTATGCAATGCTTCACGGGGCCACGCAGCTTACCTATCTCGTTGGAACGGTCGAAAGCAACGAATATCACCCATCTCCTACTCTCCTCTTGGAAGCGAGTGTCAACTGATTGGCTACCGGCTCCAGTGACAGCGGGTGACATGACACTTGCTGCAAAAACATTTCCCGCCGTCGAAACGCTTCAGGTAAGAACACATGATGGCGAATAAACAAGGTTCTGAAGTAACTCGAGGTCCCTGAAGACAGTTTTGTGACCCGTGTCTTCATACACGCATGATACACTGCCTGACAACTTCATCTGTGGGCGAGTTGGTGCGGTTTGGTTATCGGGATATTAGGAACACACATACACACACGCGCACAAACACGTGCAAACGCACACACACACACACAGACAGAGAGAGAGAGAGAGAGAGAGAGAGAGAGAAGAGACGTTCGCTTAGCCTGTGCTTGCGTCTCTTCTGGTATACGTGTATCGGTAATAGGGTACTATAATCATGTTTAGATAGTGTATGATGGCGCTGCATGAAAATGAAGGGCACCAAAGGCAAACAAGAAATCAGTCTTCACTGATACTTTATTCTTTATATCTCTCAAAGCTTCGCTCAATTATAGGTACACATGGTAAGAGACTAACAAGGTTATTGTACTGTCATGTATTTCGAGCGAAATTTCAATACTACTAAATTAGTGTAGCGTGAACGTATTTGGAAAAGTATATTCTTATTTATGCCGCGTTGGCTCAATAGAACCTATCACAACTTCTCGTGCAAAATTTAAGGCTTCCGTGGTATATGCTAACTGAAATCGTATTGCAGAGGCCTAACGTGACGCCACCATAATGACGGTGCCGGTACGTAAAGGCTGCGATGCAATACCATTTTTTATTCGCACTTTTCCAGCCACACCAAATGTTTTCATGCTCATAAGCTATGTTTCTCCTATTGCAGCAGCTGCAATTTTGTATTTTCAATTATATTAGAATCATTTACCTTTGGCGTCTCTGTAAGTACACCAACTTAGTTGTGATCTCGCTACAGAAAATACCAACCTATATTACACGTGTGCGTTGCAGTGCCGTGCTGTTCATTTATCCAGTTACCGTTTGTTGGAAGAAACGTGTCGAGGATAGTATTTTGCTTCATGAAAAATTACCTTAATTATTGGCTTAAATCTTGCAGGTTTACGTGCGCTCAGCGGAAGCACTTTCCAGGATCTCGGCCTTCCGAAATCTACGCAGCCTTACGCTGAAGTTCAATGAAGGTGGAACCCCTGAAGGCATGGATTTGGGCATAAAACATTTTCCGGATCTTGAAGAACTGACAATGGAGGGTTGTGATGGTGTGATGCTCTCCAAAATCGCGGAGCGGTGTCCGCAAATCAAGATCTTGAGGCTACTAGATTGCACAGGGTCCACAGAGGATGTCAGATTAGACGTCCGTGCATTCTCTAATCTGGAAAGCGTGACGCTTCGTATGTGGATGTTGCAGGACACTTTCGCCTCATTTCTCTCTGCCACCCACAAAACGCTTCGCACGGCATGGTTCGGTGACAGTAGCTTATGCGTCGAGTTCCTCCTCCACAGCGTCCAATACGGCCAACGACTACCATTTTCACGCCTTGAACACCTGGGCTTGTGCACGAAATCAACACTACGGGAAATGGAACTGGAGCCTAGAGAGCTCCATCACGTGCTCAAGGCTTTGCCTGTAATCCGACACCTCGAGACGGACAGCTACGACTTACGCCTGTTCTTCGAGAACTACTGCGTTCCACGTGGTCAGTTGTGTTTATCCTGGACAGGGTGCGTCTCTTGTGAGGTATATAATCCAGAACTAGCCAGAAGGTTTCATTAATTTATGACCCATGTCAGCGACATTCTATCCAAGTGAGTAAATATAACTATATTCAGTGTTTATCTCCAGCCTTCCACATATATCTCGCTTTCTGCATTGATAGCAGTTTTTCTGATGTACAGAAAATCTGTGATGTAAAAAGGAGTTTATAGCTCACAATGTCATGTGCGAAAGTGCCTACTACGATCGTCGCGGACGCACAAAAAGCAATTCAGGATAGTTCATTGTGCTTGTTAAATTACGGCTCAGTGATATTCCTATGGGGTTTTCATTACTTGAGTTACCTCAACCTCACGCTCTGCTCATATGATATTGCATCTGAGGCTTCATTGCGAACGGATATTGAAACAAGGGGTAGTGATAATTTACTTATGCTAATATTCAAAGCTACGCTTTTCTAAATATAGGCTATCAGCAAAGATAACTAACTGGCAAGGATGTCGTTATTATATGTCAAACCAAGCTTATACTGTCACTGACACTTACAGTTTGATATCGCCTAGAAACAACAAATTAAACCAGTGTTCCTAGTTAATTAAAATTCCCTAAGGTTACGTGAGAGTAGACGCTTAATAAAAAAAACTTAAGGCCATTCGCCACAGAGCTGAAAGAAAATACAGACGGGCGGGTCTACCTGAAGATTACCGCGACTGTCCAAAAACGCATGGCAGCATGAGCCCACAACTGGATAGACTAGACACAAAGCGCTGGTGGCAATTCTGCACTTTGCTAACACCACTTCCACCCGAGTCAAGCTTGTGGAATGATCTACGCTCTGCGAGTGGGACAGTACACATCAAATACCATTTATAAGGCCTTAGCTATAGTGAAGAGTGTACTGGAAACGACCATATCAGATGAATTTTTTAAGCATATAGCACGACCAAGTGCAGCCGGGCACACGCCCTAATACATTAAGTCTGTTGAGAATATTCAAGCATTGAATAATCTTTATTTCAGTAGACATCACGTTGACCTCGATTATCCGTTATCGTCGGAAGAATTAAATAATGCACTTCTTGCGTGCCGCCACAGGACAGCAGCTGGTCCTAATGAAGTAACATATGTTGCACTAAAAAACCTAGGTGATGTGGCCACAAACGCTTTGTTAAAGTTTTTCAATGATGCATGAACAACAGCGTGCCTTCCATCCTCCTAGAAAGTTGGAAAAGTGGTCCCAATTCTAAAAACTGGCAAAACGCCTTTATCCATAGAATATTTCCGTCCTCTCAGCCTGACTAGTTGTCTCTGTAAACGTATGAAAAAGATGATCAACGCTAGACTACAGTGATAAAGGGAATGTACGAATGTGCTTCCAGAAGATATGGCAAGCTTCCGAAGGCACAGGTGAACTACGGATGTCATTGTAGACCTTTTCGTCTATTTAAATCATGAGAGAAGCAGTGGAAGAATTGTTGTTGCAGTTTTTAAAATGTATAAAGCGAGCAATAGACACATCCAGCCACGTTCATGTACTTCATGGTTAAATTAAATTGGGAATAGGTGACAGAACACTAAGATGGATTGAAGAATTTTTAAAAGACAGGAAAATATTCGTTGACAAAGCATAGAGCAAAAGTAAAAAGCATGAGGTTAGTCAAGGAGTTGTACTGGGTAGCACCCTTAGCTCATTTTAATTTGCGTTATGGCTAAATTATTGCATATCTTACCTACTAAGTTGAAATATTCACCATATGCAGAATATCTGTGCATTTGGTCTTCAGACATGAGTATTCAAGCAGTTCATCCAAAGCTTAAAGATAATGTGACAAAAATTAACGACTTTTTAAAGAGCAGAGGTATAATTCTTTTTCACGAGCAAACAGTGGTACTTCCATTCAGATGGAAATGCCTTAAAAAGTTCAAGCTTCAAATAGACTCTCAGCGCTTACAACTTTTGTGACTGCACAAATATTTAGGGGTCATTTTAGACAGACGTTTGTCTTGGGTCCACAGATAAGATCTTTAGAGAAAAAAATGGTCCGTATCTGCATGTTAATCTGCAAATGTCGTCGAAAGACGATAGTCTTGCGTGTGGAGAGAGTGAAGAAAACATTTATTTGATGTTCTGCGCAAGAAAATTTGTCAGTGGTATTCTGGAGGCGCTGCGTTAGAGTGCCTTGAGCGTGCAGCGGAGGTGAACGAGCGCATCAAGTCACGTCACACGTGAGACAAGAGCGCCATCTGGCGGTTATTTTGGAAGACGAAACGCACGGCTGTGAGACGAGCGTGCGCGCACGTCTAAGCGGTGATAAAGTGTAGAACGCAAGGCGACGGGTAGGTGCCCCCACCGTGTCATCTTAGAAAAGCATTGGAAACACTCGACTTTTCGTGCAAGCGTTGCATTGTCAGTGCAGCGTGATAAAGGCTACGGGCCTTTGCATGTGTACGGGCCTTTGCAATTACTTGTGCATACTTTTTCTAGTAAAAGACGAACATACAGAGCAAATACGTGTTGTAATGGCCCCTCAGGTAGGCGCAATAATTGCTTTTTGATTGACAGTTGCACAAGTATGACCGCTGATCCTTGAGCAACATCGGTGGGCGCTACTGATGGGGTCGACCGTTTAGGGTATCATCTGGTGACCTTCAGAGCACCCGGGGCCGTTAAGTGTGAAAAAAGAGACAAATGTACAGACAGACAGACAGACAGACCAAAATTTTCGCGTCGAAGGTCCCCAAGAAAGACTATCGTCTTTAGAAAGTGAACTCCCTAAGCAGCACTGCCACACGCTAGTGGCACTCGATGCTGAGAAGGAAGTGGTTGGCTGCTGAGACTGAGAGTAAACAACCGTTCGCGATGTCTCGACCTCTTTTGCCGTTTTCTCTCACCACAAACTGGTGGAGGCGCTGTGTACTCCGACATTCTATGCCTGCTGGCCTCAGACCAAAAACAACCGACGCCACTACACCAGGTTATACTGAAATTCATCGAAGCAGCCGTCGCCTCCATGGTCTACCACCCCAATGCGGTCCCCTGGTGAGTTCTGCGAGAAAAATGTTTTCCACGACCGCAACCACAATTGAGCATGCCGATCCATCCGCTGCCGTATCGTGCGTCGTCAACACGCCTCACACGCCTAACTCTGTCCTCGGAAACCCCGGTGATGATGTGCAAGACTGGTTGGACCACATTGAACGAGTGGTGGCCATCAATGACTGCGACAATCACCGTGAGTTGAAAAACGTCTATATCTCTCTTCTTGATGCGGCAAGAGTGGGGTAAAATAACCACGAGCCACGGGGCTTCGTTCCCCATTTGGCCGCAGTTCCATCGGCTTCCCTGCGAGGTCTTCAGCAACCCTGAGCTGATAGAAAGAGCTGAGCAGACGATGTCTGCACAATTTCAAATGCCGAACAAGAGTGTCGCCTTGTTTCTTGAACAGATGTCACGACTGTCTGACGAGTTGATCCGGAAATGCCAGAGGCCAAGAAAGTACGACTGTTAATACGCGGCGAGAAGAAACAGCTTTTCGTGGTCCTCGTGCGCTACCTGCCAACAACAATGTCTGGGTTATTCCGTGAGCCGTCAATTATAGAGCGCATGCTTCAGCAGCGGTTATCCCAGTACGAGCGACAGACTGTCCTCTCCGCTGTGTGCTCTCTTGTGCCTGAGCGTTATTACAGGGAGACCCTTACAGAGCTTATACGGCAGGTTGTCCGAAAGGAACTTCAGAATTGTCATACGGCGGCACCTCCGATTATCACAGCTGTCGCCGACCTCATTCGGGATTAAATCAGGAAAATCATCCTTCCCTCACCACAATCCTGAGCCGAACCTCCCACACTATCCTGCGCGGATTCCCTGCAATTTTCTACACCGTCGATGGTAGAAGTTTCTCACATCTACCTTCTGAGACTTCTCAACGCTTCCCAAGCCCAATCCACAGCCCAGCTTTGCAGACCCAACATCGCCCTGGTGCGCGGAAGTCTGCCGTATGGCGTGCACCTGACAATCGACCTTCGTGCTACCACTGTGGCGAAGCCGGACGCACGTACCATGACGGCTACTACGGAAGAATAGGCCTGCACGGATTCCACCTGGATGCCCGTGGTCCACGCTATGGTGAGAGCCTGTACGAAATTGAACAGTACTTAGGAAGCAGTGATTTCCATCCTGACCCTCAACGACAACAGTCCCGGTCACCATCAACCCGTCGGCTTGCATCACCAAACCACGTCCGAGCACCCTTTAAATTCACTGGTGTGAGTGGGTCAAGTCTATGCCGGGGAAACTGAGAACGGCGACCTCCGGGGGTGAGGCTGCGTTGACACAAAATGAGAAAGATCCTTCGATGCCACCCCCCTCCCAATGACGTACCGCTGACGCCATCTTCCGTAACCGCTAAAAAACGTCTGCTGCTATAACCTTTTCCGAAGAATGTCATCCAGTAACCGCATGCATCGATACAGGGGCCGATTACTGGGTGGTAAGTGCTGCATTATCCACCGAACTACGCAAGGTGCTGGCAACCTGGGACGGCCCACAAATGATCACCGCGGGAGGACAACTCGGGTCCCCGATCCGCTGGTGCACCGAAAGACTCAAAATATGTGCGTCGGCCTTTGTAGCATCTTTTCTTGAGCTGCCCACATTTTCCCGACCAGTTGTATATTGTATGGATTGCCTCCAGTTGTATAGAACGATCATTAACCTAAAAGTTTAGTTTGTTACCTTCGCTACCAATGTTCATACCAATTCAGATAACGCGGAAGAACACCGGCGGGTGGCGTCACGCGTCGTCGATGAATGTAACGTTGCCGCCTAGTATCAGTGTCTTCATCCTTGTTGAGTGCCCACAGGAACAAGAAGGCACAAGCGTCACCTAAGGTAACGTCGTCTTACTACTGGGTCGAGGGGTCGCGATAGCTCATGGTGTCGTAGAGCTCCGGAATGGTCGGACTGCGATTTTAGTGACCAACTTAAGTGGTGAATATAAGCATTTGGCAAAGCGCACCGCCATAGCCCACTGGTAAACCCTTGACAATTTGGGCACCTGTGCTTTGATTACGACGCATTCTAATGATCAAAGCTGAGTTGTAGCCATTACGAACCGCATTAACGTTAGTCGACAGTTGGAGCAACGTAAGCGC